ATACACTATTCATCCATTACCGCTACAGAATGTGAGCAATGCACTGCATGTACCATTATCACTGTCTGATTCATAGTGTAAAACTGGCTGAGATGCATGCTTTATCGATGTCCCCTGAGTAGTAGGCCTGTAGGTCATCGACTTCATCATCATCAACAACAGCAGTACATCAGCCATTTGGACTGATGCTTCGCTGCCATACAACCATGAGGACCTATGAAATAAAGAATAAGAAGAGGGAGATCATCATCATCATCAACAGCAGTACATCAGCCATTTGAACTGATCCTTCGCTGCCATACAACCATGAGGACCTATGAAATAAAGAATAAGAAGAGGGAGAGAAGGGGGACTTACCTGAAAACCTTAATGCCCTAAGCAAACATTCAGGGTCAAGGCGCCTACACCTTGTGCAGACAACATTCCATCACAAACAGCTGGCTATCGTGCAAAGATAAGGCGGCATCGGCGAGACAGCTTCCTTGCGGCTTTGACTGCCCCGCGTCATAATCAGCCATTACCCCGCAGATAACTCAGCACCAAACACACTTTAAACAGACAATCCGATTAGAAGACGGCAGCAGACGCGCCACTGGTGTCGGTTGCGAGCCATGTCCTGTAAAGTCTCAAGCCAAGCACAAGGTGAGTCACGTGGACTCCAACCCGGAAGGCGAGACGGACCAACGGCACCCAGTTTAGTTGTCAGTGACTTCATTTCCCGCTGCCAAGTCAACTTCTGTCCACCTCGAGCCTTGTGCCATCCTACACCTGGTAGACTGAACAAGGCCCTCCTAGGTAAGCGGTGACCAGGCATGCGTACCACGAGCCCGAGCCAACGCAACTTATTCAGTGCTATCTGTTGTTCTAGGGAGCTAGCATGATTATCACCACCTAGTACTCGCCTACGCACATCATCGTTGCGGACACGCTGGTGCCATCCGACACCAGCAATGCTTCGCAAACAGCGATGATCAAAGACTTGAAGGCGCCTCAGATCTTCAGACCGAAGGGGCCAAGTTTCACTACCATAGAGCAGAACGGCCCTCACTGTGGCCTTGTATACACGGCCTTTCAGACGGAGAGAAACTCCCTTCTGTCGCCAAAGATGACGTAGGTTCAAGAAGGCAGCTCTGGCCTTTGCAGTGCGTGAGCTCATGTCAGTTTCTATGCGCCCATCATTGCTGATGCAGCTGCCAAGATAAGTGAATTGATCAACCACCTCGAGTTCCTCGTTAGCAAGCGTCAAGGGGTCATAAAGTGGCTGATAGTCCTGCAGCAACACTTTGCACTTTGAAGGTGCGAAGTGCATACCAAATAATGGAACCACTCTGGACAGGCTATTCAGGGTTGACTGTGCCGCCTCAACATTGTCGAAAAGCAAGACGATATCGTCCGCATAATCTAGATCAACTAACCTTTCACCAGGCAGCACTTCAACGCCTACATCATGAGATTCCGCAAGGGAACACTCCATGATAAATCCACTACGAAATTGAACAAAAACGGGGAAATCGGACAACCCTGACGAACGCCACTTGTAGTCGAAAAGCTATCCGATAGGGCACCATAGACCCCGACGCGGCCTGTAGTGTTCGAGTATAGAGCATGAAGGATGTTCACATATTTCGTGGGAACACCTTTTCGCGCAAGTAATTCGAACAAAATCGATCGATCGACTGAATCGAACGCACTCTTGAAATCGAGGAACACAGCTATTGTCGGTCTGCGGTATGCGTGGCGCTGCTCTAGCACCTGCCGCAAAGTAAATATATGGTCTATACAGCCACGTCCTGGGCGAAAACCAGCCTGCTCTTCCCTAATCCGAGATTCCCGTTCTGCAGTGAGGCGACGAACGATAATGGAGGCCAGTAATTTTGTCACAACTGGCGTGGTTCGCACAGTCATCGACTTAATAGAAAATGTAGCGGGAAATGCGAGTGCTCATTGACACGTACAGTAAATGCTTCGACAATTCGAGTGAAATGGTGAAGCACAGTGTGGCTCTAGATCTGGACAGTACTAGAGTTCGTCGATGTCCGGGTAATTTTGTCGTACAGAGAATCATACTAAGCTCTGTCCAGCAGTTATAAGTCAGTCTTCTAACTAAAGTTAACATCCGTTTGAAGGGCACACAGGAAATTGAGCGTTCACAATAGTATTTGTCAATATTTCATCTCATGGAAACATCTAAAGAGTGAATGCTGGCGACACCATAGGGCTTGTAGTAGTATGATGCAAGTACGGAGAGGGATTTACAAGTAGAAAGGTTTAGGTAAAAGCGAAGTTTCAATAGTGAAGGTGCAAATAATTCAAAAGCGCTTCCAAAAACATGGAAGTAATTAGACGGTTTAATCAATCCATTTGAGAGTTAAATGTGTCTCAAAGGCTTTTATCTATAAGTAGTCTGTTTAAATGCTGTTAACTGTAGAGTTAAAGTTGTTGCTTGGTGAGTGACTGCGCCACACCTGAGTAATGAGGCAAGGTTGGAAACCAAGAAGCAGTGCTCCAACCAACCTGACTAGCATGCCGACAAATCGAAAGCAACTCACCGTAGGCTGAAGGTTGGATAAGTATGGAAAAAGGCTTGAAATAGTAGTTTTATGGCAAGAAAAACACCACACCTTGATGAAGCGAAAATATAGTGAGAAGGGTGACAATGGAAGATGAAAGAAAAAACTACGCAGACTCGCTATCGTGCACTGAATGCTACAATGAACTACAGACTATACAAAGAAAGCAAAACAGTATGCGCTAAATGCATTGTAAAGGCAGGACCCTAGTTATCACATCTCTAAAGATACCGAATCATGCACCAGGTTCCAAACGTTGGACCCTATGTTGCGCACACCAGCACACGGACCTCTACAACGTGCGTTTGCGCGATCAGATGGAAAAAGAGGAGGGAAAGCTAACAGATTATTGACGTAGCGTATCAGAATGTCGCTGTAGCAAGTCAACAGGTAAGATACCGTCAGCGTTGCCTTGATTGAGATTGTCGTTGCTTCTTTTCTTTACCTCCCCATTTCGTCTTCAGTATGGTAGATCAGCCACTTTTCGTGTGTATTTTCACGCCGTCCATCCGCCATCTCACGCCCGGTCCTCCATCTGCAACTGTGACAACGCCGTCCAGCTCGCCAAGGCATACACTCCATCCAGCTCCGACTCTTACTAGGTGGTTGTCCAGCCGCCTACGAAGTATCTCTTTTGCCTTTCAGGCCCCTCGGTCTATTATGAACTACGTACACCATGGACACGAAGGCCTTCGAAACTCAACCGGAAGCATACGACACTTGGTCAAGACGAATGAACAACTGCTTACATACTTGGCGGCGGTTGGTGCCTCCCGACTGTCGGGTTGGGGCCGAAAGACGATCAAGACATTTGGATGAATAAACTGACTGACGTGGCAAAGATCCGACGTCAATGGCATTTGCGTTGTAAGTTTCTTTGTTTCTCCCATTGACGCTTAGATTAGATCTCCAAACACGATCGCATACTCGATGTATAATTTGTTCATGAGCATCATGTCACCGTTTTTGTATTATGAAAAGTTAAGTATCGGCTTTTTCATTTTTACCCCCTGTATTGTGGCAAAATGGCTAACATGTAATTACTGGGACTGGTCTACTTTATGGTTACTGCCCATAAATCAAGCAAAGTGCTCCGTTCTTCGAATTGGAGGTGGTTGTTCTCCTACGAAGTACGTGGTCGGTGGGGTCGAACTCCCCAGTGTATCTAGCCAGATTGACATAGGCGTCGTACACTCTTCGACTTTACACTCCGGCGACAATTGGAAGAAGGCCGCAAGCAGAGGTTTCCGCATGTTGTGGTTAATACGACGTTCTTTGGGAGTCTTGACGGGCGGCATCTTTACGAGGCTGTTCTCCGCTTTCGTTCGGCGTCATCTGGAATACTGCGTCCAGGCTTGCCCGCCCTGCCTCGTCCGGGACAAAATGGAGCTAGAGAGGGTTTTACGAGTGGGTACTAGGTTAGTCGAGGGATTACGGGGACGGACGTACCCCGAGCGTCTACTCAGTTTGGGAATGCATTCAATGCACTACCGAAGGCTTCGAGGTGACATAATCCTAACCTACCGTATCTTAACTGGGAAGGTTGGTCCAGATTTATCTTGGCTTTTTAGTCCCTCTAGACTGTCTGTTCTACGCGATCATTCCTTGAAGCTGGACAAACCGCGGTCCGATCGGATTAGGACGGAAATCCGGCTGTCATGCTGTTATCGGCCGCTGGAACATGCTTCCGGAAAGTGTTATCAGGGAATCTACGGTTAAGGGGTTTGAGCGGCAGCTTGACGCTCTTGGGTGGCAACAAGAAACCTTACCATTTTCCTGAGTAACTCGCATCTTCGTACTTCGATTTTCTTTACTTTACTTTTCTTCACGCATTGGTATTTTCTTATTTAAGTGCACTTCCTTATTCTGTACCTTCGATTTCTCTTCCTACCCTTTGCTTAATTCACGTGACTGCCACAGCAGGGGCTGCTAGGGCAGGAAACGTGGGCACTAACTGGTTGGCCAGGGTGCGATACGGGTGTTCCGTTTTAGATCCATCAATAACTGAGCACTTCATCAATTCCTGGCTCAACGATCCACTCCAGGTCGCTACAGGAACACTCACGGGATTCTCCTATCGTTCCAGTCCCATCTGAACTGAACTGAACTAGGGTTATGAAATATGGGTTGCATAATGCAAGATGAGGTAGCAAACAGCGACTAACCGACAAGCATTCCAAGTAGTCTAGTTGAGGACTTAACACTGTGACTACGAACTGCAGGTAAATAATCCACTAATAAAAAGCAATGCAGTTGAAACGAGTAGCACTAGAAGTCCTAGAGTAACAAGATAGGTTGAAGGATGACAATGAAAACGTATACGCGATTTCATTAAGGAAAACACTATACCATTGCAGACCAAGAAAGCGCACAAAAAGTGAGAACGAATACGCGGAAAAAACTTAGCAATGTACGCTGCGCAATTCTTACCCAAAATCGTCATCCAGAGACTTGAAAAAGAATTTGTAATGAGGACGGTTAAGAGCATTTTTAAAATCTCCGAGAGTAACGAGAGTTGGTGCTACGTTAATTTTCACAAGATATGGCGTTTCTTCCTCATCTATATAGTAGATCACTTTAGTCTCTTCGACGGACAGAGAGCATGACATCACTCAGAAAGTGCAACGAAACATATTTTTCAAATATATGCCACCGGAAATAGCCGTTTCAAACAGTGTTGATATTCGCGCGCAAGATCCTTGCACGTGAATGACAAGGCCAAGCATTCTTTAGTGCTTCTGCTCATGTATTGGATTGTCTAACGTTTACAAATGTAAAAAAGAAGTGCGCACGCACCGGCAAAATTGACTCACGGTTGCGAACCGCTCCATTCGCAGGCCTCTAAAAATGTAGTTCTGCTTACGTTGCCTAGAAACAGGATGTAGGACAACACCTGGATTGGAGTTTAATGTTGTTAAGCCCTAACATGCGCTATGCGGTCTCGGTTTAGCTCAAAGAAATGAGCAACCAACTGTGAGCACATGCAGCGAAGACAGACAACCAGTAGGACAGCCACGCGAAGAAATGAACGAAGATAACAGCACTAAAGTAAATTGCTTATCATGGGAAAAGGCAACCAGCATAACGAAAAGCAGCAAGAAGGGTAAACTTGATTCCGTGTGATAAAAATATTTACGCTCAGTAGTTTGCATTCGTCCACGTAACTTTCCGCATCCGGAGGCTTATTTCACACTTTAGAAAGCAGCGAATAAAGAAGAGAAGAAAACAGAATTTCTGGCCAGTTTATAAATCGTTCTTAACCTGAAGACTGCAACTACTCTACTTCACCTTGTGTTCTCAATATCAGTAGGCAATACTACGTGTGGTTGAACATGGACTACGCTCTTGGGTTCATTGAGTTCATTGAGTTCATTGAGTTGTAGAGAGCTGGAGGGAAATCCCTTGTCAGCCCCATCGATTCCATATCATACTGAGTTTGATGCGTGTCGTTGCGTTACGACGTTCTTCGAGGGTTCGTCGTAATTGCAGTGACAGCCGCAAGATTCCAGCATTCTCAGCGAATGTTTGTCTAGCAGCCGCTTGAATCTTTCCTCGGATGGAGCGTCTGCATTGCTTCCGATAGGCTTTTCCAGTCATTCACCACTCTAGTGGATAGGGGGACGTCCTTGCGAATTTTTTGTCTGCTTTGCTTAAACAGTTTCCATGTGTGACCGCGGGTGGAACAGTCAGGGTTTGGCCGGAAGAACTGTTGTAACTCACTTCCAGGTTCCCCTCCGAGAATGCGTCTAGTGTAGATGAGATCACCGCGGCGACGGCAAAGCTCGAGGGAGAACAGACTTAGCTGCTGGAGTCGTATGGGGTACGGGAGATTACAAAGCCCCAAAACAGCTTTCGATGCATATCTCTGAACCTTTTCCAGCAGAGCGCATTCAAACTTTGAAAGCGGATGGCTGGCTAGAAGGCCATATTCTAAGGTTGGACGGACGTACGAAGTGAACAAAGGTCGAAAAACCTCGGGAGTCATTCGAGCGAATGATCTTCTTAAGGCACCTACCAGTCTCCTTCCAGTGGCCACCTTCTGCAACGTGTCCTGCGTCGTTCTAAGGTCAGAAGTCACGATAACCCCGAGATCTCTCTCGTGGGTGGTATTGCTATGGAGAAACCCACCAATGTGGTATGCACCGTAAGGTTCGGTGCTACCCATTGGGAGAACAGCGCATTTATCCCGGTTTACTGGCAGTTCCCACCTGATGGACCATTCGTGTAGCTGGTCTAGAGCCCCTTGTAATCGGTCCGCATCCTCAATGCTGGTTACTGTTGACCAAAGCTTGAGGTCATCGGCGTAGGTCAAGCAGTCGGTTTGAAGCGCAGTCGGTAGATCGTTAATGTACAGTTTGAAGAGCTCTGGTCCAAGCACTGATCCTTGGGGAATGCCGCTAGTCATAGGCACTGGAGCAGAGAGGGTTTGGTTCACTTGTACGCGCATTGTCCTACCCCTTAAGAAATCGGCAATCCAGGAGAGAAGATTTCCTGTAATGCCAGTTCCCTGGAGTTTATGTAGCAGTCGTACGTGTGGAACCTTATCAAAGGCTTTGCTGAAGTCAATGAATATTACGTCAACCTGTTTTCGGGTATCTATGGCTTCTGCCCATGTTTCCCTGGCGATGAGTAAGTTAGCGATGCATGAGCGTGCTCTCCGGAAGTCATGTTGTGCAGGTGAGATGAGGTTTAGATGCACACAGTGTAGCTGGAGAGCGCACTTGACTATCCGTTCCATGGTTTTGCATACGACTGATGTCAGGCATATTGGCCGGTAGTTGGCTGGGTCTTGTTTGTTTCCCCCTTTGTATTTGGGCAGGACGGTGCCTGCTTTCCAGCCTGTGGGTAGGCAGCCGACTTCGAGGGATTGCCGAAACACTTGGCAGAGAGGGGCGGCGACGTACTCAGCTATCGTTCTGAGGAAGCTGGGATGCAATCCGTCCGGGCCTGGGGAGGAGTTTGGGTCCAGTTCGAGGAGTAGCTTAGTGACTACTTCGGGGTTAATTTCAACTTGGTCCATAGAGGAGTGGTGTGCAGGCAAACAGTTGTTGAGCAGTGGTGACTCCACTGAGTAGACCGAGGAATATAGCGCAGCCAATGGGTTTGCTTTTTCATCATCGCCGTAGAGAACGGTACCTTCCTTAAAAGAGGATAGAGCGGGGATTCCACTGCCAGTTTTGGCATTTCGCTTCAAGTAGGCAAAAAGTTTCTTGGGACAGTTTTGGATTCCATGACCAGTCTATGTTCATATTGTAGCCTTTTGTCTCGTTTTCTCAGTGTGCATAGGTTTCTGACAGTTTGTACTCTAAGTAGCTTGATGTCTGTCCTGTGCTCTTGAAATGATCCCATAGTTTTCGACGTTTTTTCATTAGGGATCTTACTTCTTTATCAATCCATGGGGGTTCTTTGGATGGTGGTCTGCTCTTGCAGTTTGGAACAAACTGTTCGATGAGCCGCATCATCATAGATCGTAGGCGTTCCCATGCGTCATCAAGCTCCAAAGGTTGCGGAATACTCCAGTCCATGTTACTTGCAGTCGTTCTTAAACTGGGCTGGTCAGTACGCCAGAAATTTCGACGCAGTGTCCCCCGATCGTGGATTGTGAGGCGTCGTGCCCACGAAAAGGAGACTGTACAGTGATCACTCGTCCCAAGAGGTTGGAGGATGGTTAGATCTGAGACATCAGATGGTGCCGAGGTGAGAACCAGGTCGAGAATGTTTGGTGTCTGACCAGGGACCATTCGCGTTGGTGTCAAGACATGCTGTGTCAGGTTGCACTCGTGAACGGTATCAAGGAGATCAACTTCAAAGGAGTCAAGTGAGAGATCACTGTGAAGTAGGTCCCAGATTACGTTGGGGGCGTTGAAGTCCCCCATAAGGAGACAATTTGTTCCTCTGCTGTTGGTTCGCACGGAACGTAACAGGTGTGAGCCAGGTGCTACAAGGGCTCTGTAGACCACCCCGACCATCAGCGATTGGTATCCGTCATGAATTCGGCACCAGAGCATTTCCGACATATCATCCTTGTCACAATCGGGTTCGACAATGTGGGCCTTGAGGTAGTTCTTTGTGTAGAGGATTACTTCACCTCCAGACCTCCCACCAAAGCGATCGCATCGAAGTAGCTGATATCCTGAAACATGAACCTCCGAGTCAGAGATATCAGATGAAAGCCAGGTTTCAGTGAACGACATTAGGTCCGGTTGCTGTTCAGAGATAAGGAGTGGAATCTCATCTAGCATAGTTCTGAGACTGCGCACATTCGCAAGTATTACCCGTAGTCCGTCCTTCATGTTTGGGGACCTAAAAGGAAGAGGATTGGCCTCCATCAAGCTCTCCTCGTTATTATGACTACGCAAAAATCCAATATGTGTAGATCTGTTTCTCCATTTGCGCGTCGAGTTCGCAGCTCGCAGACAGCTTGCCTCATTCGGACTCGGTCCTCCGGGGAGAGGTCTTTCAGAACGTAGAAGGTTTCTCCCTTGAGGCGCGGAGTCCGTCTCAGGATGCGTTGGCATTCTTTTTCATCCTGACAGACAATTTTCAGAGGACAAAACTTGGCCGCGTCCTCTTGTTTTCTGCCAAGACGAAAAGCAGAGATTAGGTTTACTCCTTGCTCATGCTCATCAAAAAACATGGAGACCATTCGTTTAAGGAAGGCTTGGTCGTCGAGCATCCTTTCCGCTGGAGTCTCATTGTTGGATTCTGGGACGTTTGTGATTATCAGGCAGCGGTAGCGAACAGGCCGCACGTCTCGTTCCGGGGATGCTGGCTTTGGGGGACATTTCTTTTCTCTGACAAGTTCCTCAAGCTGCGATACTCCATTTTAGACGAGCTTTAGTTCCACGTTTTTGGTGCTTGATGTTATCTTGCGTCGTGAGGAGATCTTCTTTGAGGCCTTGTGCTCAGCTTTGGTCATCCTTGTTTTTGCTGAGGTGCTAGCGCTCACAATGGCGGCATAGGACTTGGGCTTATGCATAAGTCTATTCCCGTTCTCACTGGGCATCGGTGTTAAGTCCAACGTGGTGGAGGACGCCCGGCTTCGTTTCCCTTTCGGCGTAGAATACCCAGACGACGGCAGACACACTGCAGAGTCTGGCGTTGCGCTGTCCGAGTTAGACGGCTTGCGCGGAAGCAGTATGTACGTTGAAAGGGTTCGTCAGAAGTTGCTTGTCGCTGACCAATGTTAGACACGAATCGCAAGGAAAGTTGATGTCATTAGAGGTAGTGCGCTGAAGACATTGGTAAAGATCATTATCAAGGTTACAGCAAACTATATGCACCTATCTGTCACACAATGAGCATTGGACGGCCTTTGAACGTGAGGTGCCACCCTTCCCACAGTGCACTCACATAGATGTCATATCATCCTAAAGAAAAATTTGACTAAAGTCAAATTTCGGCAAAAGTGTCTATTCAAACACTTTTCTTCACGAGAATTTCACCTAAA